ATCACTGGGTGCCGGCGGGGAATCACTGGCCAGAACCTGGTGATCGAAAACTGAGGCTGCCAATGACGGCGCGGGTAGGGGCGCATGCGCCCCCCACCCAGAAATGCAAGATCACGTATATATATGTGATTTCACGCAGCCCTGCAGCAGTATTTTGGCTATAGGGCAACGGGAAAGCAGTTAAGGTGGTAATTAAAATCACTTAGTGCCTTATCTGTATTAAATTAGCATTGGAACCTGTGCAGTTAATACGCATTCAGTTTTAAAGGGATGAGGTGGTAACCCTAACTAAAACCCAGCAGGAAATGCTGCATATGGTATGTGCACTGATGATGTGAAGTAAATATTTTGTGAATTTACAAGTATATGTCCAAACTCATGAAGAAAATGACATACAGTAAACATACAGCATGTGTGGTGCTGTAATATACTGTATATATTGAGACAAGTATTTGAGGTCTACTTACAGAGACCATCTCCTCCTCCATCATCTCTATGACACATGCCAAACAGAGAGGTGCATCACCAGCTCCCGATACTGGGAGAAGCCAGTATGCATCATGGCGATAATGGGCCCGTTCATACAGCTGTGGCCCTGCCATCGGCGCTGGCTTTGTTGCTATCCCTCAGTTCACACAGCAGTCAGGAATCACCACACTTGTTCCCGCTCTTTTCTTAGTGGGAGTCAGTCAGGAAAGCCAGCTGTGATTGGCTAGACTGTATCAGAGGGGGCGTTCCTGAAATAGTACAGAAGGGAAGATGATGTGTACATTTCCAGTCAGGACTTACAAATCCTAAAAGCCTTCTTTAACCGTTTCAATACCGTGCAATTTTACACCTTCCTGCCCAGGCCATTTTTCAGGTTTCAGCGCTCTCACACTTTGAATGACAATTGCGCGGTCATACAACACTGTACCCAAACTAAAATTTTATCATTTTCTTCACACAACTAGAGCTTTCTTTTGGTGGTATTTAATCACCGATGGGGTTTTTATTTTTTGCTAAATTAACAAAAAAAGACCAAAAATTTTGAAAAAAAAACACATTTTTCTTTGTTTCTGTTATAAAAGTTTACAAATAAATAATTGTTCTTCATAAATTTAGGCCGAGATGTATTCTGCTACATGTCTTTGGTGAAAATAACCCAAATTAGGATGTATTTTTTAGTTTGTAGGAAGGTTATAGAGTTCACAAACTATGGTATAGATCTGAATATTGATCAATCCTGAAGTACTGACAGCCAATCTAATTTCTTGAGGTCCAAGAATGTCAGAACAGTACAGATATCCCCCAAATGACCCCTTTTTGCAGAGTAGACAGTCCGACGTACTTCATAAGAGGCATGGCGAGTTTTTTGAAGTTGTATTTTTTTGTCATAATTTTTCGGAAAATTAAAAAAATTATTTTCACTATTTGTTTTTTTACATACTGTCACCAATGCAGTACAGCGTCATCATATAACTGGCATGGCGGTTAACAGGGACACTGACTGGTGACAGTATGAAAAAAATATATATATATTTTTTTTTATTATATTTAATTTTTTATTACATTTTTTTTTATTTTTTTTAAGATTTGTTTTTCATATTTTACTATGACCAAAGTAGTACAATGTTACCATAGTAACATTGTACTACTTTGGGGAAGTGATTAGTATTTTTTTTTTTTTACACAATTTGCTTATAGCAAAGAATTACTTTGCTATAAGCAAGCATTTACCTGAATGAAATCGATTCATTCAGCTTTTTTTTTTTTTTTTGTGCTTAGCTGTGATTTGGTCACATCTAATCACATGACATGTGCATGTGATTAGCTGTGACCATTCACAGCTAGGCACTAGTATACAATGGATGGCATCATGAATGAAGCCATCCATTGTATACAACTGTCATGTGACCTGCTGTGTGTGGTCGCAGCAGGTCACATGGTACCAGCAACGGGTGCCGGTACTCGGATCTGTCATCGGCCGTGTCCGAGGTGCACGGCCGGTGACAGATCGCACTGCTGCGCCGCTCTGCATTAGCGCAAACTGCGCATGTGCGGGAGCACGCCAAATGGCGTGCACCCGAGTGAAGAGACACATCTGAAGCCGCCAAACGGCCATTGGCCGGGCGGCTAATGGTTAACCACTTGCCCTCCTGAGGATTTACCCCCTTTAACCTCCTTAGCGGTTTTCCCGAGTGTAGCTCGGGGTAAAATTTGAGTACCAACAGCGGTAACCCCGAGCTACACTCGGGCTTACCATGCGGCGTTGCTCAGGGAGTCCCTGCAGCACTTACCTTGTCCTTCGCTCCCACGATGTGTCCCCTGCAGCATCCCCGGCCATCTCCTCTGGCCGATGCCGGCATCCGTGTTCCAGTCCCAGTGACGTCGGGACATACGGGCGCCGGAACCAGCGGCAAATTTGAAATTTTAAAAAAATGTCATATTTGCTGTCATTGCTGTTTCAATGCATTTCACATATATTTTGTCCCTACTGCTTTGTCCTGTGCCCTGCCTGCATTTTGACTGTTCTTTCTGCCTGGAAACTTAGAGAAGTCCATGGCGTCCAAAAAGCATCCCTTTACGTCAAAAGCGGTTTTAGACCAGTTAGAGAACAGCGATAGTAAATCAGAACCACTTGCAGAATTGAGTTATGATTCGTGGGGAAATCCGTCATCAGACACTGAAAACGATTTTGCGACTTTGCTCAGCGATGTGTGAATTTGCCTCTGTATTTCAAATTTCAGTGTTTTTGGTTTGATTATATTATTTAATTAAATTTATTATTATATTATTATTTTTTATGATTATTTAATAAATTATAATTTATGATTTCGTGTTTCAAGTTTTATCATATCCGGAATGTTTACTAGACTCTTGTTCGTACAGATTTCAGTGAGTTATTCCTAAAAATTACAGCCTACAATAAAAAACTACATATTTCCATGCAAAAAAATAGTACCGCTTTCAGCACAAAAAATCGGAAAGAATCATACCGCCGAGGAGGTTAATCCCACTGAACCTCAAGCCTATGGCATTGTTTATTCCCAGCTAAGAGTCGTGGCGTGTTTTTTTAAAGTTAATACCAAGGCATTTTTTTTTACTCCCACTAGCCATAGTCTGGCTCTGAAGTTTGAAGAACACTAAACTGGCCCATAGTTTTGAAAGTTTGGAGACCCCTGCTCTAAAATGTTGGGTTTCCCATCACTGTTCATCTTGATGGCAATGGTATACCTCCCAACTTTTTGAGATGGGAACCAGGCATACCTGTTAGATATATTATGTGCACATAGGACATGCCCCCCCCCCTTAACCACTGAGGCCAATTTTCAGCTTTCAGCACTGTCGCACATTAAATGACAATTGTGCGGTCATGCAACACTGCATTCATATGACATTTTTATCATTTATTTCACACAGAGCTTTCCTTTGGTAGTATTTAATCGCCACTGGGGGTTTTATTTTTTGCACTATAAACAAAAAAAAGCAAAAAATTTCTACTATAAAATTTTGTAAACAGGTAATTCTTCTTCACTGATGTGCGTTGATGAGGCAGCACTGATGATGCTGCAATGTTGGTCACTGATAGGCGACACTGACTGATAGTACTGACTGATGGCACTGCTGGGCATGGATCATCAGTGCTGATCTGCTCTGACAGCTGCTGGTTATCGACAGTACTTTTCTCACGCTGTGACAGTATGAGGAAAGTGCTGCCGATAATCGGCAACTGTATGTACTCCATGATCTGCTGTGTCATTGGACACAGCTGTTCACACGGTAAAAAGTCGCTGTGATTGGCCTTGTACCTCATCACATGATCAGCTGTGTCCATAGGACACAGCGATCGTCGGGTGCATACCACTGGGGCAAGTGGAAAGGCACATTCTGGGAAGATGTCATACGACGCCCTCCCAAACTGGACGACCGCGCTATAGCTGCTATTCAGCTATAGCGTGGTTAGCAAGTGGTTAAAGAAGAATTATACAAAAAAAAGATTAGTTAAAGCCACACGTGCTTTTTTTTTTACCACTACTATTCCTTTATACATGCTTTTGAAAATTACAAATACTGCAATTCACAAACTGGAATAAAGGTTTAGCACTGAGAAACACTTTTTGAGTGACAAAAGTTAATTTTATATAAAACTATATAGATCAGGCAGGCCAAAATGAGGAGGAAAGAGGGACTTTGTCCCAAATCTATGCAATAGAGGATACATCTACCATCCACTGTGCACAATGAAGGAATGGTGAACCATAAGAAGCCCTGAACTCTGCTCTCTCCTCCTGGCTGCATGTCCCTCTGCACTGGGAATACCCGAGCCTGAGCCAAGGCCTGTTCAGGTACACCCAGGGGTGGACTAAAAACTAATGGGGCCCCCGGGCAATAGGGGATCATGGGGCCCCTGTGTCCTTGCCCAAACTCAAAAAAGCCTATGAAAAAGGTACCAGGAGCATCTCATGGAGCCCCCTAATGACCTCGGGCAGTGCTCGAGTTTCCAAATGGTCAGTCCATCCCTGGGTACACCCAAACTGCTCTCCTTTGACTTGTACTCTGGGTTCTCTCCAGCACAATCCTGTCCTAATCTGCTGCTTCACTACATTCCTTCCATCATAGGCACCAGTCTATCTCTGCTTTCTCGGGGTTTTTTGCCCCCGATGACATCCGCACAGCATACAGATGTACCCTGAACTGCCGCCAAACCTATAAGGAAGACAGTATTCCCGGAGCAGCCTAGGACAGAACAGCGGAAGTGTGGCGCAGCTTACAAAAATATATTTACAGCTGCACTTCATTGTGGAAGGATTACACGAGGCATGCTTGCACGTGAACAGCACGCTGCCTATAAACGCTTTTCAATGACAGCGGAAGCGATTGTTATACAGAGCTAATACAATGTTCTGTGTCACAGCGCCGCCTAGCGGGCAAACCCTGGCAGGAAGAGCGACTCAGTTCTCGCTTAGACTCATGGGAAATGAGTTTCCATAAGCTCCGCCTTTTCCGCTCTTTGGGCGCCGGAAGTTGAGAACACGTTGGTGTTGCATCGCTGTATAGAGGTTCATTCGATTTTCCTCCGTGAAGCTTCCGAGCAGAGGGGACCAGGCGACTTCCTAACCGGGTGTAAAATGGTATGGTGGTGTTGGGGTAACCTGCACGTGGTCGGTGTGGCGTTGTATATGGTGGGGGCGGGAATGTGCCGTGTTATGAAGATGTATCCGCACGTGCTGTTATTGCAGCCTCCTGCAGGCACGCTGTGCTCCTGTTATCTCTCTTGTGACTGACCCTTCTCATTGCATTGTATGATCTGTGTGTCACTCTGTTCTATGTTGTTTTACAGACTGAACCAGAAGTGAACCCCAAAGCCTACCCATTGGCCGATGCTCAGCTTACAAAGACTCTTCTAGATCTGGTACAGCAGGGTTCCAATTACAAGCAGCTTCGTAAAGGGGCCAATGAAGGTACACACTGCCTTTATACGGCATCCATGTAGATACTTACAATGTTTACTCAGTGCTGGGAGAGAATTGTCTGCTACATAAGAAGGGCCCCCCCAGTTTTATTGCCCGTAGAAAACTGGGAATGGGCTTTACAATGTTGTACCAGTGTTTAGTCACTAATGAGCATGACAAACCAGGAAGGTTTACCCCCTTCCTGTCCAGGCCAATTTTCACCTTTCAGTGCTGTCACACTTTGACAATTGCGCAGTCATGCAACACTGTACCCAAACTAATTTTTTGTATTTTTTTTTCCTGCTAAACAAACTATAAAAGACTGAATTTGTTAAAATTTTGTGTAACATAGTAATTTCTCTCCACTGATGTGCCCTAATGAAGTGGCACTGCAAGGCAGCACTCCTATATGGCACTGCTAGGTGGCACTGACAGGCAGCTCTGATGGGCACTGGTATGTGGCTTTGATGGGCACTTACAAGTGGCACTAATGGGGCTGTCCTGATGATCAGTATATATGTCCCCTCTTAGGAATGCCGATTACTGGCTCAATTCTCACGAGCTGTCAGCGTGAGGAGAGGACTGCTCATAACCAGCATTTCCTATTTACATATGATTTGGACACAGCTGATACATGACAGAGCCAATGTCATCAGCTATTTACATGTATAGGTGATCCGCTGTGTCCCAGGAACACAGCGCACCACAGTGCACATGGGCAGTTAGTGGGAGGATGTCATGATATCCTCCCAGAAGGAGTGAATTGCCACCTGCTGGTCATTTTCCATATGGTGGGAGGCGGTTAAAGAAGCCTAGCCAAGCATTTAGGTCATACTCTTCTTCTGGGTCACAGGAGTGTACTTATTTCTGCACTCAAAGATTCAGCCAACAGTGGGCTAAAGTTCACTGTCAGCTGACATCGCAGAGCCAGTCCACTCTGCAAGCGTTCTGACCGTAATAGTTCCACAATAGTAGTGCACTGCTCAGAGCCTGAGCCAGCCGCTACCATCCCCTCCACAGCCCAGCGTTCCAGGGAGTGCTGGAGGGGCAGAGCAGACAGCCTGTTACTGTCTGCTCAGTGAACCCTCAGAGTGTGGAGTCATCAGAGGTCGTGTTTTAAAGGTGGCAGGGGACAGTGGTAGCATCAGATCAGTGCTGCAGCCATTTAGATTGGTATGTGTGTATTTGTTTCCAATCCCGAACTTCTACTTTAACCAGTTAACCACTTGCCCTCGAGGATTTGCCCCCTTTCCTGACCAGGGCTTTTTTTGCAATACAGTGCTGCGTTACTTTAACTGACAATTGTGTGGTCATGCAATGATGCCCCCCCCCCCAAAAAAAACAAACAGAGCTCTCTTTCTGTGATATTTGATCTGCTCCATTATTTTTTGCGCTATAAACAAAACGCCAACAATTTTGAAAAAAAAAAAAAAACCCAACATTTAGACTTTTTGCTATAAAACATCCAGTAACATTTAAAAAATCTAATTTTGTGATAAATTTAGGCCAGAATGTATTCTGCTACATGTCTTTGCAAAAATAAAAATCCCCAGTACGTGTAAATGAATTGGTTTACGTAAAAGTTATAGCGTCTACAAATGGCGGTATATATACTGGATATGTTTTTGTCTGTTTTTTATACTAGTAATGGCGGTGATCAGCGACTTATATCAGGACTGCAGCGGGCATTCTGACACTGGGGAGAACTGAGTAAATGTCACTGACATCCTCAGTGACACTGATGCAGTGATCAGTGCTAATACAAAGCACTGTACTAATGACCCTGGGCAGGAAGGTGTTAACATCTGGGGCGATCAAAAGGTTACTGTTTTCATGTGTAAGCAAGCTGCTTTGTATTGCTCTGCAATGCAGAGCAATACAAAGCAGTGTGCTGGAGCTGACGGGAGAGATCTGTATTGATTACATACAGACCTCTCCCCTGTCAGTGTTCCTCTGCGATCACCGGCTGGGACCGAGTGACCAACAGCTGTAGCCGCTAATGGCGGCACCCCCTACCCAGAAATTAAAAAAAAAAAAAAAAAAGTGCGTATGTATGTCAGAAGCAGTTAAGGACTGGACATATAGCAGATTTACATTGACTCCCGAAAATGTCAATCACTGGGTCCTGGCCAGTGATTCATGGTCAAGACTCTGATTGGTGAAGTTTACACACAGATCTCGCTCCTGTCAGCAGAGACATGCCGCTTTCTGTGTCTCTGCAACGGGATAGAATGCCGTGCATCCCATTGTATAACAATGTACAAAACAGTACACTGTTAACCCTTTGATAACCTCAGATGTTAACCCCTGCTTGCCCAGTGCCATTAGTACAGTCAGTGCTTTTTTTTTTTTTTTTTTATAGCGCAAAAAATAAACGCAGAGGTTATCAAATACCAAAAGAGCTTTGTGGGGAAAAATGACCTAAATTTCATTTATGTACAGCGTTGTATGCCCACGCAATTGTCAGTTAAAGTAACAGTGCCGTATAAAAAAAAAAAAAAATGGCCTGGTCATTAAGGTGGGTAAATCTTTTGGAGGACAAGTGGTTAAAGTGTATCAAAAGCTAAAACCATTTCCCTGAAGATTTAGGCCTCATGCACACACAATGTACAAAAAATGCAGTTTTTTTTTTTCAGACATTTATGTTTATTCAGACTTTAAATGCACCTCTGTTACTCCCGTAAGCACTTCTAGCTGTGGCCATCTTGAGTAAGGGAAGATGATTCATGTTGCATTTACTTCCTGTAATCCAGCTGCCCTTAGCTCATGCATGCAGGCAGGAGGGTGTGCTTAGCTGTAAAAAACCTTTCCTCTAGATGAAAGGAAAATTTCTTGGAATATATCTTTTTTTTTTTTTTTTTTTTTTTTTTTTTTTTTTTTTTTATCAGTTCTTAAAACAAGATAACATGCCTTTTATTTCTATTTACTAATACAAGCAGCATAAGTATTAAAAAATATTTTAATTGAGAGTGTGGTTCTACTTTAATTGGTGTGGGAGACCCAGGTAACATGCAACTCAGAAGTTCACAATTTAATCTGCAGTGTACCCCAAAAGCACTAAAAACTGGTTCAAAGCATGATGAACTTTACACATGGAGGCTCCTGTTACCATTTGCAGAAGAAAGGAGGCGTTAGTGAAAAATTATCAAAGGATTAAATGGGGAGAGCTGCTTTGCCAGTGTAATTTGTAGGGCTGAGCTGTTAGACATCTGTTATTGCTTTCAGCACTCCTGATGAAAGCTATGCCCAAGCTCATTCTGGAAGAGGTGTGTTGGGGATTGAGCAGAAACAGAGGTGGAAGCAACAGACAAAGTAGTCCAAGTTTGCCCCTCCTTTTTTTGTTTAGTCTTCGCATATATCTAGGTTTGTCGAGCATATTTAAATACATTTATTTTGCCCATAGACGCTTCAACAAATGATCACTTCCTTTGTTTTGTTGATCAATAGTCAACAACCCAATCAATAGATATGCTGGACACGGGGAAGTGGATTTCGATTGCTAGTAGGAAGTTGTGGTCATAAATTGATCGTATCTTTCACCATGTAGACTCATAATCTGATTAATTGAAATATGATCAAAATTGAAATCTTCAACCATTTTCTATACTGGAGGGGTGATTTTCTCTGTGCTAAATTATCATGTTTTGTTTATTGCACAAACTGGTTAGAAATGCCATTTGATTTATTTTATGCTCTTTTTATCTTGCAGCCACAAAAACACTAAACAGAGGGATTGCAGAGTTTATTGTAATGGCAGCGGATGCAGAACCACTTGAGATCATTCTTCACCTTCCTCTTCTCTGTGAGGATAAGAATGTCCCCTATGTCTTTGTGCGTTCTAAGCAAGCATTGGGAAGAGCCTGTGGTGTCTCAAGACCAGTTGTTGCATGTGCGGTTACTATTAAAGAAGGTTCTCAGTTAAAGCCCCAAATCCAATGTGTCCAGCAATATATAGAGAGACTGCTGGTGTAATATATATATATATTTTTCTTTTTATTGAAATGACAGTGGGCTCAGTGCAGTGTTGTGCATTGTACATTTTTTCTTTTTTTTTTAACTAGCCTAAGTCTAATCTGCTTATGTAGGACTATTACGAATTCTAAAAGGAGTATTTAACAGTGACTTCTTTAAAACATCCCTGTATGATCTGTCATGTTTAAGTTTAACTTTCAGTTGTTGACATATAGTATTTTGACTTTTGAAAAAAGGAAAATGCTTCAAGAAATTTCAGTAAATTTGTCTTTCCCCCCCCCCCCCCCCCCATGCTAACTTGTATTATATGTATTTTTTAAAATAAAAATATACATGTATGCTTGTTTCCTATTTTCGCCCTTGTGGAAATTATAGTAATGTGTTTTTTAAAATTGTTTTGTTTCCATGGTAAGGCCCCATTTACACTTCACGACTTGGAATCGCAGGCAATATGTACACAATTCCAAATGGCGTGGCAAGTGCTGCAAAACAAGCATTTGGGCACCATTCATTCTTAGTGGCACCCTAAATGTAACACTATTTTTGTTATGTGACATGATTGCGTGAAAATAGGCTTTTAATAATCACGTGAATCTTGATGCCCAAAAAGGAGCAGGAGCTTCTTTAGGATGACAATTGCATAGGGCAGCCCATTAAAGTGAATAAGCTGTCATATGTGCAATATGCAGAATCACATTAAAACTGCGCTATGAAAACTGCATGGAGACATAACCAAAACTAAACTTTAAATATTTATTGTACCAAGAATTGAACTCCTGGCTGTAAATATAACATTTGCTCATGCAAAATTTCTTAAGGCAAATATTTTCATAAGTATTGGATTTTTGCTATGAGCAGTTAGTAATATAAGCTTATGTTTGTATAATTACCTATTATAGGTAGTTTTTATCTGGGCAGTAAAATAAAGTGTGCAATAGTTGTGACAGTGTGGAAAATGCAATAGTCGCCCATTCAGTTTAAAAAAGAAATCCAAGGCAAATTGTGTACAATTTAAAAAAAAAAAAAATTTTTTTCTTTCTTACACACTTACCGGCCACTTTATCAGGTACACCTGTTCAATTGCTTGGTAACAAATTGCTAATCAGCCAATTACATGGTAGCAACTAAATGCATTTAGATGTGAATATGACTTATTGAAGTTCAAACGGAGCATCAGAATAGGGAAGAAAGGGATTTTAAGTGACTTTGAATATGGCATGGTTGTTGCCAGATGTACTGGTCTGAGTATTTAAAAACTGCTGATCTATTGAGATTTTCACGCACAACCATCTCTAGGGTTTACAATGAATGGTCCGAAAGAGTAAATATCAAGTGAGCGGCATTTGTGTGGACAAACATGCTTGTTTGAGGTCAGAGGAGAATGATAGGCAACATTAACTGATCTTGTTACAACCAAAGTATGCATGTATGCAATCCCTGAAGGCACAGCACGTTGAACCTTGAAACAGATGGGCTTCAGCAGCAGAAGACCACACTGGGTGCCACTCCTGTCGGCTAAGAACAGGAAATGGAGGCTATAATTCACACACTCACCAAATTTGGACAATAGAATATTGGAAAATTGTTGCCTGATCTGATTCTATTTCCTTAGAGAAGGTTGTGTGTGAAAATCCCAGTAGATCAGCAGTTTTTTTTTAGATACTTGGACTAGCCTGCCTGGCACCAACAACCATGCCACGTTCAAAGTCACTTAAATCCCCATTCTGATGTTTGAACTTCAAGTCGTCTTCGCCAAATCTATATGCCAAAATATATTGAGTTGCTGCCATGTTGTCATTGGCTGATTAGCAGTTGCCAAGTAATTGAACCAGTGTACCTAATAAAGGTGTGTGTGTGTGTAATAATAATATATTACAAAGTGTGTGTTTTTGTGTATAAAAACATTTTTATTTTTTATAAGATTCTAAGCATGCTCTTAAAGGCCTTAGGAAGATAGGTGTGGAGAATACTTGTGGGGAGTGTAAGGGGTGCGTGATGGCGTCAGCAGCAGCTTGAACCGAGTACGACTTAGTGTAAAATAGAGACAAATGCACAATGATGTGGGGTGTGTAACAGAAGTACATGATCTTCCCAGTGAAGAGGGGTGTATCAGCTAAAGTCTAACTATTGCATTAAATGGCAGTCAGTCTGTGCTCCCATATAGAATGCAAAGATGCAAACTGACCATTCTGGGATAGATGTACTTTCCTGGCTGGCATGATCAGTTTGAAATAGAAAGCTGGGGGGACTGGCAGGACCACCAAGTATTTTACACAAGGAAATGGTGTAAAAAGAACAGGATACTGTCTCTAGTGTTCATTGAAGGACATGGGTCATTTTGGATGGGTTTGATGCTGCCTCCTTCAAGAGCAACTTAAAAACTAAAATCATGCCTAAAGGATGGTCCTCTAATGGTGGTCAAACCCCTATCTGCAATACAGGATCCAGTTCAAGTGTTTCATTTTTTTTTTTTTTTTATATTCCAGTGGATGGCTTTAAGGCAGTAGTCTCCAAACTGTTCCTTTTTGCTTGCACCTCTCCAGCCTTTGGGACACTCTCCAGCTGATGCCAATGGCAAGGCACCATTCCTACTGACACCATTAATGGGGCACTAATCCTCCTGCTAAGACCAATGATGGGGCAGTGTTTACTCCCTCTGTACCCGAGACATTTTCTACTCACACTGGCCACGGTCTGCCCCCCTAAAGCCTGAAAGACTAAACTGGCCCTTTGTTTAAAAAGTTTGGCGAGCCCTGGATTAAGGTCAAGCTTCTTTGTCTTCCACCATGTCCTGGTGGATTTGTAGAAAGGTTATCCAGACCATCACTCCTTCATAGCACTAGACACGCTATTAGTTACTGTGCATTCTAGCAGGGTGCTGAGCGCATCTTGGGCTTTTTATCATTCCGTGTTTTTGTTGTTCAGGTTTGCAAGGCAGCTTCCTGGTTGTCCGTTCACACCTTTTTTTTTACGAAGTTTTATAAGGTTTATGTGGGTGCTAGCTTTGACTGGCAAATCTTGCAGGCGACAGTTTGAGTTCTGTCTGGGGTTGGTTCTCTGTGGCTTTTTTTGGGGGGGGGAGGGGCACTGCTTTGGGACGTCCAATTCGTTATGAAGTTTTGCTGTGTCCTACAGTGAACGATAGAGAACACTGTTTTGTAGTTACCGTAAAATCCTTTTGAGCTCATTGAAGATCAAATGCCCATATTCACCAGTACACCACAGTTCATCAAATGTCCGAAACCTTTATTGAAGATGGATCACAGAGGACATAGTGCAGTATTTTGGAGCCATGCAGAACCCCCATTTCTGACCAATGGGCCCCCGCGTGGCTCCAAAACACTGCATGTGACATGATTGTGCTTTAATAAAGATTTAGCCTGTTCATCGATGATCCATGGTGGGTTTGCAAGTGTTTATTTAATATGTGATGTCACCAGTTCTAGCTGGTTACTCCTAAGCTTTCTCCAGGAAAGTGTGTGATGTGAATTGGCTATCTTTGCGTTATTGTCCTGATATTGCTGGCTACTAACTGAATCCTGCATTGCAGTAGGAGGTATGGCCACCACTAGAGCACCACCATGTAAATGTGCTTTTAATTTTTAAGCTGCAGCTCGCACCTTGCTCCTGAAGGTGGCAGCATCAAAACCATATGTGATGAAGTTTGGCTGTGAACTCTAAATAAAAAGGATTTTTACATTGGGTTCAATAATCAAATTTAATACAAGTACTGTACATGGTAACACAGACACAGCATAAATATGAATAGTTGGAGTAACTCTTACCTAATGTAATTTCCTTTCCTGGATTGTTCTCTTAGAACCCGGTGCTAGAAACCCACATTCCATGCGTGTTTTCCACAGTGTTTAAAACTAACTGCAGCTGCGATCTGCAGCGGGTGTCTGTTAATGACTTCCCCTAAAGTAGTCTGCACCAGTACAAAAGTACTGTTTTAACTACTTGCCGTTCAAGGACATCCCTGTGTGTCCTTGAGTTGCAGTGGTTAGGCCGGGCCATAACTAAGAATCTATCTTTTCAGCTGGCGATGTTGAACAAACTGAAAGCAATCCAACCAGCTAATTAGCCTCTGGATCGCTTTTACAGACAGCGGTAAGGAAATGTTATCAATCCTTTGAGATGGCAATAACTATTTAAAAACCAAAACAATGAAAGCGATCCCGTGCCACTTGATTGTGTGCAAAGGTAATTGCATACGTAGCTTGTGCATGTATATGTTAAGTGTTCGCACCACACGTGTGGTATCGCCGCAAATGTTCTAGCGAGAGCAATACTAGTATCAGACCTCCTGTGTAACGCTAAACTAGTATCCTGTAAAGGCTTTTAAAGAGTCACTTAGGGAGATTTTTATGCTCCTTCCATGAGCATGTGCAATTGTAAAGTGACATGTTGGGTATCTATTTACTTGGCATAACATCTTTTATATTTAACCAAACAATTGGGTAATTGTGGTTTTGTGCATTAAAATTAGTTTGTTTTTTTTCCAAAAAAATTGCAGTTGAAAAACCACTGAGCAAATATTGTGTGACAAAAAACACCCACCATTTTATTCTATAGTTCCTCTGCCTAAAAGTATATAATGTTTTGGGGGTTCAAAGTAATTTTCTACATTTTACATTTATGTGAGAAGTGTCAATTGATAAAATAAATATGCAGCGCTGAAGAACATGAAATATATAATGTTAATAATAGGTAAACATAAGTTATAGGTGAGTGCTATTATTGGTGCAAAAGTAGTGAAGTGATGACTGCATCTATGAGTGATGCATCAATATAGTATAAGCCAAATGATAAGGTGACAATGGTGGTGAGTCCAATCACAAAATGTAATAGTGTAGTGGATTGTGATAGACAGTCCACATTTTATTAGATGATCAGTAAAATGACAATTTTATAGTCTTGCTACTTTCTGCTCTTTAAATTCCTTACTCTCTTAAGAAAACAATCAGATATAAGTTGACAGAACAATGATGATAATTAAG